CATTCTTGAGTTCGGAGTAGAGCAACTGCTTTGGGAGATGGTGGTCAGGCATTCAGACAACGTGGCCGGGCCAGCGGAGTTGATGGCGGAGGACCATCGCTTCAATGCTGGTGGTCTTTGCTTCTTCCAGCACGCTGACATTTGTCTGCTTGTCTTCCCAAGAGATTTGCAGGATTTTCCGGAGGCAGCGCCTTTCGTATATTGTACTATACTGTTATTTGGTAATATTATTAGTAGAGGCAAAGATGAAGTACTTTGGCCACATCATGAGAAGACAGGAAAACTTAGAGAAGACAATGATGCTGGGGAAAAAGGAAGGAAAAAGGAAGAGGGGCCGACCAAGGGCAAGATGGATGGATGGGATCCTTGAAGTGACTGTATTGACCTTGAAGTAGCTGGTGGTGGTGATGACCGACAGGGAGCTCTGGTGCGGGCTCGTCCATGAGGTCATGGAGAGTCGGAAACGACTGGATGAATGAATAACAACAACAATTATTATTAATATTACATGTAATATAAAATGTCTATATAAATAAAAATGTAATGTTCGTTTGTGGGATTAACAGAACTCAAAAACCACTGAATGAGTTGCTCCCAAATTTGGCCACTAGATACCTACTAACCCAAGGAGTGACCATCACACAAAAATTGAGATTGTCATTTGGGAGTTGTAGTTGCTGGGATTTATAGTTAACCTACAACCAGAGAGCATTCTGACCTCCACCAGTGATGAAATTGAACCAAACATGGCTCACAGGACACCCATGACCAACAGAAAACACCAGAAGGTTTTGGTGGGCACTGACGCTGCGTTTGGGAGTTGTAGTACACCTACATCCAGAGAGCACTGTGGACTCAAACAGTGATGGATCTGGACCAAACTTGGCACAAATATTCCATATGCCCAACTAGGATCACAGATGGAGCTTGGGGGAAATAGACCTTGACATTTGGGAGTTGTAGTTACTGGGATTTATAGTTCACCTGCAATATTCAGTATTCTGAACCCCACAAATGATAGAATTGGGGCAAACTTCCCACACAGAACACCTATGACCAATAGGAAATACTTAAGGCCATCCAGTCCAACTCCCTTCACCAGAGTAAGAAAACGTGATCAAATACTGTTTACCCAGAAGCATAAAGACATTACATGTGCAGGTACAACCGTACCAGGAGCTCCAATTTTGTTTGCTTTGCATTGAATGTTTGTTATAGTCCTAAGTTTCAGGGACTCTGCAGATAGGTGGCTTCTTTTGGCTGCAATCATAGGGCAAGCCACCTGTCAATTATAGTTAGGTTCCCTGGTCCTGCCCCTTTTTGGGTTTTTGGAGGGAATAGGAGCCATTTTGGGTTCAGTCCACACAGAGAAGCTTTCCATGCAGGACATAATACCAAGAGCTCCTGTAGAAAGCTTCGTCTTCTACGGCTTGGCCAGGGAGATATACAGCCTACAGCTTGGCCGGGGTTATACAGCCCACAGCTTGGCCGAGGATCATACAGCCTTACAGCTCCTTTGCTGAAGGACTTCAGTCAGCCATCACCGAAACCTGAACTCTTTTCCCCTGGAAGTCTACAAAGCTCTGCTTGGTAAGGGTCACTCGCGGAAGCCAGAAGCAGTTGGTACCGGGTGCAGGGGCTCCACGCCAACAGAGGCAAAGACAGACTGCCCAGATTAGAAGTTAAGGATTTCCCCATTAGTTACAGTTATGAAGATAGTGCCTGTTCCCTGTGGACAAGATTGAGAGAGAGCCAATGGACTGTTAAGAAAGCCTCAAAGTACCTGTTTGTTTTCATTAATAAAGAACATTGTTGAACCTTTAAGCAATCTAAAGACTCTGTTTTAAGGAAATCCAAGGGCCTTTAATCTGAAGCAGCCCCGGCGTCCCGTTGGGCACACAGATTTATGTCCTGTCTACAGTCTTATGCACAGGCCCAGCGTGCGACAGCAATTACATATATTAGAAACCAACACTTTCTCATTACTTTATTTCCCAGATCACCAGACTGGGCCAACAGCAACACAAGGCAGGAGATGTCTTGTATAATTATAATATTATATTATTATCATTAGTAGTATTATATTGTATTACAGTATAATATTATAAATATTATATGTATATTATATTATAAATATTACATTATAAATATTATATGTATTACGTTATAATATTATAAATATTATATGTATATAAAATAATAATATATACAATATATTATGTTATATTATTAGCATAGCATAGTCACTCTGGACCGTGCTCTGACTTACAAGAAGCACTGCCTGAACATCAAGCAAAAAGTGGGCGCTAGAAACAATATCATACGAAAGCTGACTGGCACAACCTGGGGATCACGACCAGACACAGTGAAGACATCTGCCCTTGCGCTATGCTACTCTGCTGCTGAGTATGCATGCCCAGTGTGGAACACATCTCACCACACTAAAACAGTAGATGTGGCTCTTAATGAGACATGCCGCATTATCACAGGTGTCTGCGCCCCACACCACTGGAGAAATTACACTGCTTAGCCGGTATTGCACCACCTGACATCCTCCGGGAAGTAGCAGCCAATAGTGAAAGGACCAAGGCAGAGACATCTCCAGCTCATCCCCTGTTTGGGTATCAGCCAGCACGTCAACGACTTAAATCAAGACATAGTTTTCTTAGATCTACAGAAACACTCGCTGGAACACCTCAGCAAGCGAGAGTCCAAAAGTGGCAGGCCCAAACCCAGAACCTCAACCAATGGCTGATACCAAATGAGAGACTCCCCCCTGGGCACACAGAGGACTGGGCAACTTGGAAGGCGCTGAACAGACTGTGCTCTGGCACCACGAGATGCAGAGCCAATCTCAAGAAATGGGGCTACAGGGTGGAATCCACGGCATGCGAGTGCGGAGAAAAACAAACCACAGACCACCTGCTGCAATGCAACCTGAGCCCCACCACATGCACAATGGAGGACCTTCTTGCAGCAACACCAGAAGCACTCCAAGTGGCCAGATACTGTTCAAAGGACATTTAATCAACTACCAAACACACATTTTGCATTTGTTTGCTTTGTTCTATTAGAAATGTAATATAATTTACTGGCTGCCCTGACACGACAAAAAAATAAAATTCCCAAGAGATTTGCAGGATTTTTCAGAGGCAACGCTGATGGAATCGTTCCAGGAGTTGCATATGATGTCTGTAGACAGTCCACGTCTCGCAGTAAAAAAAAGCAGGGTTGGGAGGACAATAGCTTTATAAACAAGCACCTTGGTCTCCCTACGAATGTCCCGGTTCTCATATAATATAACTGCCACATAATCCAGTTCAAAGCAGATAATCTGTCAGAATATAATGGTTCCGTTTTCCGTTCTTGAGTTCGAGTAGAGCAACTGCTTTGGGAGACTGTGGCCGGGCATCCGGACAACGTGGCCGGTCCAGCGGAGTTGATGGCGGAGGACCATCGCTTCAATGCTGGTGGAATTTGCTTCTTCCAGCACGCTGACATTTGTCTGCTTGTCTTCCCAAGAGATTTGCAGGATTTTCCGGAGGCAGCGCCTTTCCTATATTGTACTATACCATTATACAGTAATATTATTCTTAATATTACATGTAATATAAAATATATAATTATAATATTGTATTATTATCATTAGTAGCATTATATTGTATTACTTTATAATATTATAAATATTATATGTATATACAATCTATATAAATGAAAACATGGCTGTTCCAGTGTGCCTTCCCTGAATAAAGGAAACAATCTGGGTTGTTGTAGGTTTTTTGGGCTATATGGCCATGGTCTAGAGGCATTCTCTCCTGATGTTTCGCCTGCATCTATGGCAAGCATCCTCAGAGGTCATGAAAGCCTTCGACAATACAAAGGAAACAGTCCCCTGCAAATACTCTGATAAGCACTTTAATCACTGTTGGTTTGCTCTTTACTTTTGATTTAAAACCCTCCAAATAGATATGTCCTCTGTTCATGTCCAGCATTTATTTTTAAAGTTTTAACTATTACATTTGGCCCAGCTATAGGTTTTTAAATTCTTGTGTGTTATTGTCTACTTGTGAGTTATATTAATTGTATTGTTTATTTTGTTTATTGCTTGTTATTTTATTATTGCTTGTTGTTTTGATGTGTTGGCCTCATGTAAGCTGCTCCGAGTCCCTTGGGGAGATGGTGGCAGAGTATAAATAAAGTATTATTATTATTATTCTACTTATTATTATTATTATTAATAATAATAATAATAATGTATTGTCGAAGGCTTTCATGGCCGGAATCACTGGGTTGTTGTAGGTTTTTCCGGGCTATATGGCCATGTTCTGGAGGCAATTTTTCTCCTGATGTTTCGCCTGCATCTATGGCAAGCATCCTCAGAGGTAATGAGGTCTCATTACCTCATTACCTCTGTGTGGAAGGGCCCTCGTTACCTCAGAGGATGCTTGCCATAGATGCAGGCGAAACGTCAGGAGAAAAATTGCCTCCAGAACATGGCCATATAGCCCGGAAAAACCTACAACAACCCATGTATATGAATTTCTCCAAGAACTCAAAAACCACTGGGGGAATTGACACCAAATTTGGACACAAGACACCTATCAGGCCAACGAGTGACCATCACTCATAAAAACACTGAAAAACACAGCAGAAGAGGCTTAAAAAAAACAAAAAAACACATTACAACGCATGCACAAAACCACACATATATATGCAAACACACATATACACAAATATATAAACACACATATACACACACAAAACACATGTACACAGACTGGGCCACAGCAACGTGTGGCAGGGGACGGCTAGTATATTATAGTATTAGCATAGCACAGGAGACAAGGTGGAACTGTCTTCCTGGCCCCCTCTCTTCACTATGCTATCCAGAGTGAAATAATATATATTTTTGGCTGGGGGAATGGACCTTTTTCCGACTTGCAAACCAATTCAACTTAAGGGCAAAGCCAGGGAACTTGGGGGCTGCCTGTGGCCTCTCCTGCCTCTCCTGCCCTATGCTCTGCCAGCCACAGGGTGACGCAAGGGGGCTGCCAGCCAGGCTGAGGCGCAACGAGCCATTGGCACCTGCGTCAAAAGGCGAGAGAGAGACAGAGAGAGAGAGGGAAGAGAGGAGCCCGACAGTCCGCGCCTGCTCGCCCTCCTTCCTTCCCGGCCCACCGCCTCTGCCCATCATCCCAGCAGCAGCAGCAGCAGCAGCAGCAGCCTCCTCCTCCTCCTCTTCTTCCTCCATCTCTGGCCCGGAGAGATGTCTTCTCCTCCGCCGGGCCGCCCCATCTCCGGGGAGCACCGGGTGGGCGACGGGGCGGAGGACGAGCGCGCTCCCGGAGCGCGTTGGGAAGGCGAAGGCGCGCCGCAGCCCCCTCCTCCTCCTCCGCCGCAGCCTTTCTCGCCCCCTCCTCCCGTTTCCATGGCGACTGCATCCACAGGTAAGAAGAGGCGCGGTACCCAAGGATGCTCTGCCGCTCACAAACCCATCTCCGCCTCGACCCCAGGAACGGGCTTGGCGGGGACTGGGAGCCAAAAATAAGGACTAGAAGCCTCGTTGTCATTCATGGGGTCTCTTGCCTTCTACGCCTGGTTCTCATTCATCCATGTTGCGCTCTTTTGGGGCCTTCCCCCGTCAGGGATTTCCATGCTCCAGTGGCACTGTCTGCGCATGCAACACATTGGACATAAGGAGTGTGTGGTGGGGAGGAATGGATGCACTTGGACGCCACTGACAGCCAAGGCTCTAAGCCAAGCATGGGCGAACTTGAGTCCTTCAGGTGTTTAGGACTTCGGCTCCCACCATTTCTGTGTTTTGGACTCCAACTCCCACTATTCCTGTGTTTTGGACTCCACCTCCCACTATTCTTATGTTTTGGACTCCAACTCACACCATTCCTGTGTTTTGGACTCCAACCCCAACCATTCCTGTGTTTTGGACTCCCAAATTCCACCATTCCTGTGTTTTGGACTTCAACTCCCACCATTCCTGTGTTTTGGACTTCAACTCCCACCATTCCTGTGTTTTGGACTCCAACTCCCACCATTCCTACCAGCCTCAGGCCCTTTCCTTTCCCCCCTCAGCAGCTTAAGCCTCCTTTTTCCTCCCCTCCTTCCTCCTCCTTCCTTCCCTCCCTCCCCCTCCCTCCCTCCCCTTCTTCTTCCTTCCTTCCTTCCTTCTTCCTTCCCTTTTCTTCTTCCCTCCCTCCTTCTCCTTTCTTTCCTCCCTCTCCCTCTCTCTCTGTCTCCTTCCCTCCTTCTCTCTTTCTCTCGTCTCTGCCTAGCCTCACTCCCACCTTTCTTCTCTCTTCCTTCCTTCCTTCCTTCCTTCCTTCCTTCCTTCCTTCCTTCCTTCCTTCCTTCCTCCTTCCTTCCGTCCTTTCTTCCCTCCCTCCTTCCTTCCTTCCTTCCCTCGCTCCCTCCTTTCCTTTCCTTTCCTTCTTTCCCTTCTTCCTTCCTTCCTTCCTTCCTTCTTCCCTTCTCTCCCTCCCCCTCCTCCCTTCTTTCTCTCTCTTCCTTCCTCTCCCTCCTTTTTCCCTCCTCTTCCTTTTCTCCTTCTTTCCCTCCTTCCTTCTCCTTCCTTCCTCCCTTCCTTCCTCCCTCCCTCCCTCCCTCCTCCCTCCCTCCCTTCCTTCCTTCCTTCCTTCCTTCCTTCCTTCCTTCCTTCCTTCCTTCCTTCTCTTTCCTTCCTTCCTTTCTCTCCCTCCCACCTTCTCTTCCTTCCCTCATTCCTTCTTTCCTTCCTTCCTTCCTTCCTTCCTTCCTTCCTTCCTTCCTTCCTTCCCTCCCTCCCTCCCTCCCTCCCTCCCTCCCTTTCTTTCCTCCTTCATCCCACCCCTCCCTCCTTCTCCTCCTTCCTTCCTTCCTTCCTTCCTTCCTTCCTTCCTTCCTTCCTTCCTTCCTTCCTTCCTTCTTGTCTTCCCTCCTCTCTCCTTCCTTCCTTCCCTCCCTCCCATTCTCCTTCCCTCTTTCCTTCCCTCCTTAAACAGGTAGCTTCCTTTTAAACATGATATCCCATCCTTCCTTCCAGGTAGTGGTGCATTATTCTCTGTGAATTATTCTCATAATTTAGAGATAGGCTTTCTTAGGTCCCTTCTACACAGCTGTATAAAATCCACATTGAACTGGATTAGATGGCAATGTGGACTCAGATAGTTCAAAGAATATATTGTGGATTATCTGTCTTTATATTCTGGGTTATATGGCTGTGTGGAAGGGCCCTTGGTGTGCATAGAACTAAAGCACTTAGATGTAAATGACAGAGGATGCAACTGGACAACGATTTTAGTAAAGAGACACTGAGGATCTTGTTTTTACAGATATATTTGCTTTTTATATATTTATATTACATTTTAAATGTTGAATTGTTTTTATAATTGTTTAAACTGTATTTTGATATTTGTTATGGCTTTGAATCGCTGCCGACTGTGAACCGCCTTGAGTTGACTCTGGCTGAGGAAGGCGGTATACAAATGCATTAAATAAATAAATACACAAATAAATTCCAGTTCAAAGCAGATAATGTGGGATTTTCAGTCCTGATATTCTTGGATATAGGGCTGTGTGGATGGGCCCCTAGACTATCAGGTCGGAAAACCCCACAATATCTGGTTTGAACTTTTTGTCATGTCAGGAGCGACTTGAGAACCTGCAAGTCGCTTCTTGTGTGAGAGAATTAGCCGTCTGCAAGGACGTTGCCCATGGGACGCCTGGATGTTTTGATGTTTTACCATCCTTATGGAAGGCTTCTCTCATGTCCTTGCATGAGGTGCTGGAGCTGACAGAGGGAGCTCATGCATGCTCTCCCCAGATTCGAACCTGTGACCTGTCGGTCTTCAGTCCTGCTGGCACAAGGGTTTAACCTACTGCGCCACTTGGGGCTCCTGCTTTGAACTGGGTTATCTGAATCCACACTGCCATATATTCCAGCTCAAAGCAGATAATGTGGGATTTTACTCAACTGTGTGGAAGGGGCCTGAGAGTCTTCTGTATTTGGGTCCGATTTAGCAATAGAATAACTCACTGGTTGCTTTGAGAGCGGCATCACAGGACTGGATTTTCCCCCGTCTCTGATCTCTTTGGACATTATTTTGCTTTGACGGCACAGCAGGGGCTCTGCCTGTGGGTGTTTGCAGCCAGCTTATTTTGCTTCTGTCATTGTGGGAGAGTGTTAACTGACTGGTGTAGACACAACACAGACATTTCAGTGGCAGTGGGGGTTCGCCTCCATCCTGTTACTGCGTTGATCCCGGAGAGCGAAATGGATCCTACATTCTTGCACATAGGGATAGTTCAGCTGTTGTGTATTGACAGGCACACAAACTGTATAGCATCCAGCAGGCATGCAAGTGGGGAAGTCAACCTACTGTTTGCAAATACAGCCTCACGTCGATACCAGGCAAGATTCTGGAAAAGATTGTGAAGGAAGTGGTCTGCAAACACTTAGAAACAAATGCGGTCATCGCTAATAGTCAACATGGATTTATCAAAAACAAGTCATGCCAGACTCATCTGATCTCTTTTTTCGATAGAGTTACAAGCTGGGTAGATGCGGGGAATGCCGTGGATGTAGCATACCTGGATTTCAGTAAGGCCTTCGACAAGGTCCCCCATGACCTTCTGGCAAGGAAACTAGTCCAATGTGGCTAGGCAAAACTACGGTGAGGTGGATCTGTAATTGGTTAAATGGACGAACCCAGAGGGTGCTCACCAAAGCTTCCTCTTCATCCTGGAAAGAAGTGACGAGTGGAGTGCCACAAGCAGGGTTCCGTCCTGGGCCCGGTCCTGTTCAACATCTTTATTAATGACTTAGAGAAGGGTTAGAAGGCATGATCATCAAGTTTGCAGATGACACCAAATTGGGAGGGATAGCCAATACTCCAGAGGACAGGAGCAGGATTCAAAACGATCTTGACAGATTAGAGAGATGGGCCAAAACTAACAAAATGAAGTTCAACAGGGACAAATGCAAGATACTCCACTTAGGCAGAAAAAACGAAATGCAAAGATACAGAATGGGGATGCCTGGCTCGAGAGCAGTACGTGTGAAAAAGATCTTGGAGTCCTCGTGGACAACAAGTTAAACATGAGCCAACAATGTGATGTGGCGGCAAAAAAAGCCAATGGGATTTTGGCCTGCATCAATAGGAGCATAGTGTCTAGGTCCAGGGAATTAATGCTACCCCTCTATTCTGCTTTGGTTAGACCACACCTGGAATATTGTGTCCAATTCTGGGCACCACAATTCAAGAGAGATATTGACAAGCTGGAATGTGTCCAGAGGAGGGCGACTAAAATGATCAAGGGTCTGGAGAACAAGCCCTATGAGGAGCGGCTTAAGGACTGGGCATGTTTAGCCTGAAGAAGAGAAGGATGAGAGAAGATATGACAGTATAAATATGTGAGGGGAAGCCACAGGGAGGAGGGAGCAAGCTTGTTTTCCGCTTCCCTGGAGACTAGGATGCAGAACAATGGCTTCAAACTACAAGAGAGGAGATTCCATCTGAACATGAGGAAGAACTTCCTGACTGTGAGAGCCGTTCAGCAGTGGAACTCTCTGCCCCGGAGTGTGGTGAAGGCTCCTTCTTTGGAAGCTTTTAAGCAGAGGCTGGATGGCCATCTGTCAGGGGTGATTTGAATGCAATATTCCTGCTTCTTGGCAGGGGGTTGGCAGAATGGGGTTGGACTGGATGGCCCATGAGGTCTCTTCCAACTCTTTGATTCTATGATTCTATGTAGCATAACAATGGTCGCTTGAGAAAGGGAGGAAAGGGTTTGCCATGCCAGATACTTCCTTCTTGTGTTTGCATAGCTGTTCAAATGAGATGACAAAAGTATAATGCCTTAATGGTTCGTTTCATTTTTTCTTTGTGTAGTATTGTGGATATATTACAAAAATATAATATTTTCAGGAAGTGGAAAGTATGGATATCATTTCATTGAATGCAGCAATATGCTGTTATACTGCCATCTAAAACATATACCATAACTGCCTCTCTTTAAGTCAATTGCTTCAAAGTAAATACAATTGAAATACCTATAATGGTTATTTGATTTCACCCATGACAGTTCAAAATGCCTAAATGAACACTCATTGTTCTTCCTGCCTTTGGAGGAAGTACTTTCTGTTTACTTTTTCGTCCATTCAGTGGCTCTCAAAAGTCTTTTAGATCCAGGCTGTTACCTTGCTGTGAACTTTGAATATTTTTCGTAATGTCTGTTTCTCCCATTCTTTTGCACTCCTAGATCATTTGGAGTTTGGTCTCCAGCTCTATCATTCCCAGCCAACATGGCCAGCGATGATGGGCTCTGTGAGGCGTAAATTATACTCCCATCACAGTGAATGATCTGAAGTATACTTATTAGGAATTTAACTTCACCAAGCATATAATTCAGATTATCAAAGCAGATAACCCACATTATCTGGAGATTAGGATGCGAA